ATATTGCTATGCTGCATTAAAAGATTTGTTATCATTTCAGTCAATCAAATAATTTGTTTCATTAAACTTTAGACGAAGATTGTATAGAGTAAAGTTGAGTACACTGTATGTGTAATGAGAAGTGAAAGGTGCGTTAGAACAAAATTTTTTTTATCTCAGTTTTTATTTTACATTGTTTGAATGAGCTGATCGTTCGGGTAGGGCGTACTGCACCCTCTCTTATCACTCTTAACTCAAGATACTATATAATCTTTCTTATTTTTCGCATAAATTATATGAGTGTAACAGAGGTACAGTAATCAGTCAAATGCTTTACATTTCTCCTCTCCTTATGAGGGATAAAAAAAGTCTCATTAGTGAGAAATAAAAAATGTTCATTGTTATGTTTTTTATATTCTGCACCTTCTTCGAAGACTGCTGAAATATCAGTGATTTTGAATTTTACTGATAAAACCGGTTCCACAAGGTATTTTATTATAATATTAATTTGGTTGTTGCCATCCTTTTCGCTGTTTTCCCTTCGCACTGCTTTCGTAATGCACTTCAGTTTATTTACTTACAATTGTTTTTAAAATTTCTTTGTGATGAAAAAAAAACGAGAAAATTTATTAGTTTTTGGTATGTAGTGTACTTTTCGTTGATTTTAAAGCATCGTTCTCTTTGCAGCGAAAATGATTAAATTCTTCATTTCATTACTGATCTTTTCTCATTGATGATTAATGGATTTTGAGAAGATATTAATTAATTGGACTTATAGCCAATATATCATGTTATTAATGCATTACAATGGAGGGTGTCTTTGTTGGTCTTCCGCTAATCACCAGACAAGTCTGGTATATTCTAGCCATTTATGATTCTGTAAAGTCCTGATGGATAAATAGTTACTATTTGATACTCAAATTCATTTTTTCATATTTCTTTTTATTTTAGACATGTTCGGAAAATGAAGTCATGTATTTTGATTTTGTTAAATTTCTTTAAAAACAATGTTGAAATATTGTGATTTCATTGAACGTGTATTGAGTTTATCCAATAAAGAAAGCAAAATTGACCTTTTAATCTTGCATTATTGGCGTAGAAATTATCTGATAAGTCTAAGCAGCAAGAATTTCTTCAGTGAAATCTACAGACATTTAAATCGGTGTCTTGGGACCACACGTTCATTTTAGACATCTTTCATTTTCGATGTAGATATGCACTTGCATTATTCTCATTTATTACTTAATTTTAATCAGATCGATAACGTAAATTTCCTTCTGAAGAAGTGATTAAATTGTATATCGGGAA